CTTCAAGACTCGGTTCCCCCTGTTAATCCCAACGGGCAGGTTGGGGCAGTTATGCGGGCAAGATTGATACCCATATCCATTGCGTCTTGGACTCTCTGGGAAGAGGCGCCAAGAGGCCGAGGCGAAGTGGATATGGATAAAAGTCGAGCCCCTACCGGCCAGACTTTTATCCAGATTCACTGCGCCTGGGGTGCCTGGAGAAGGTAGCCCGAAATGCCAAGATGCAGTGGATATGGATACACATCTTGCCCGCACGTTAGGCTTCGAGAAGAAAGCTCCCGACCAGCCTTGCCGCCAGGCCCGAGATCCCTTGGTGATCCCTGGTGTCCCGCCTCGTCCATGTTGTCCCGCCTCGCCTGCCCGGCATTCCGTAGCGGACAGGCCCCAACGCATGTAGCTACCATGCGTAGAGAATTCGCTTGCAGAGCATGTATCGGGAACGATCGTGACACCAAGCATGAATAGCAGAGAACAAAGCGAATGAGAGGCAGTTCGCGCGGATAGTACGTTTAAGCCACATAATTTCGTAAACGAGAAAGCATGCAGAATGAGCAGCTTAGATCCTTTGCGCAAAGTACTGTAAGGTACTTTTGTATTCACATACCGGCCTATCTATACAGAGTTCCACACATATATATATATATATATAGATGTATATATGTGTCTCACTCTATATATAGATGTACATATCTATATATATATATATGTTTGTGTATATATATAGATAGATATCCAGCTGCCTGCGGTAAGCCCCGCCACCGTGCCTGCGCAACAGCTTAGCAGGAAGGAGGCTGATTGTAGGAACAGCGCGATTTCGACGATTAGTCTGCATTGGGGCGGGTCGTGATCCCGACCTCGCCTTCGTCTGCGCGGTAGGGAGGAGGAGAATAAGCAGAAGACGAAAACAACGAATAATCATACTACTAATAATCGGAAGAATAGTGAGGCGAAAAATAAGTCAACAGTATTAATACTATTAATCAGACTAACAGTAATAATGTGAACGCTCAGAAACATGCTATTTCTACTACTACTACTACTACTACTACTCCTACTCCTACTCCTACTCCTACTCCTACTCCTACTCCTACTCCTACTCCTACTCCTACTCCTAGTACTACTACTACTACTACTACTACTACCACTACTACTACTACTACTACTACTACTACTACTACCACTACTACTACTACGACTACCACTCTTACTATTATAATTATTTCTACTACTACTACTAGTACTACTTTTAAGGAAGACAATAGTCATAAACACACTCATCATCATCATCATCATCATACTACTACTACTACTACCACTACTACTACTACTACTACTACTACTACTACTACTACTACTACTACTACTACTACTACTACTACTACTACTACTACTACTACTACTACTACTACTACTACTACTACTACTACTACTACTACTACTACTACTACTACTACTACTACTACTACTACTACTACTACTACTACTACTACTACTACTACTACTACTACTACTACTACTACTACTACTACTACTACTACTACTACTACTACTACTACTACTACTACTACTACTACTACTACTACTACTACTACTACTACTACTACTACTACTACTACTACTACTACTACTACTACTACTACTACTACTACTACTACTACTACTACTACTACTACTACTACTACTACTACTACTACTACTACTACTACTACTACTACTACTACTACTACTACTACTACTACTACTACTACTACTACTACTACTACTACTACTACTACTACTACTACTACTACTACTACTACTACTACTACTACTACTACTACTACTACTACTACTACTACTACTACTACTACTACTACTACTACTACTACTACTACTACTACTACTACTACTACTACTACTACTACTACTACTACTACTACTACTACTACTACTACTACTACTACTACTACTACTACTACTACTACTACTACTACTACTACTACTACTACTACTACTACTACTACTACTACTACTACTACTACTACTACTACTACTACTACTACTACTACTACTACTACTACTACTACTACTACTACTATTACTACTCAGATGAAACGTAAGAGCAACACGAACAAGCATCAAAACGATAGTGCTAATAATAATGATACTACTAACGCGAAGAAGACGAATCATAACAAGACGACAAAGCATCATAGTCATAAGACGAGTATTCATAATCATTATTCCCCAATCAGAGCTTGCCTTTGTAGGGGTCCTAGCGGATTCATATGGTTAGGTGAGGTTCGCCGCCGATTTCGGTGGCTGGCCTGGGTGCCCGGGGGTGCCCCGAGGTGCCCAGGGTGCCCGGAGGTGCCGGGGGTGCCTGGGTGCCTGGGTGCCCGGGTGCTCTATCGCCGTATAGCCCTATAGCCCTGTAGCCCTATAGCCCTAAAGCCCTATATCCCAATAGCCCTACGTCCCTACAGCCCTAGCCCTATAGCCCTATAGCCCTGTAGCCCTACAGCCCTATAGCCCTATAGCCCTATAGCCCTATCGCCCTATCGCCCTATCGCCCTATCGCCCTATCGCCCTATCGCCCTATCGCCCTATCGCCCTATCGCCCTATAGCCCCATAGCCCTATAGCCTTATAGCCCTATAGCCTTATGGCCCCAGAGCCTTATAGCCCTATTTTCCCTATAGCCTTATAGCCCCATAGCACTAAAAATATTCGGATTGGGGTTTCTCTAGAAAAGGAGGAGGGCCCTATTTCCCTATAGCCCTATAACCCCATAGCCCTATAGCCCTAGACATATTAGTTTTTTTTGTTTTTTGTTGTTGTTTTTTTGGTTTTTGTTTTTTTTCTTTCCCCCCTGTGTCATAATAGTAAAAGGAGGAGGAGGAGGAAGAGGAGGAGGAGGATGAGGAGGAGACGGCTTCTTGGGTTCTTCTTGGGGCTTCCTGGGGGCCTGGGGGCTTCCTCAAAGCTTTTTGGATGCTTTTTGGGGGCCTCATGGAGCCTTTTCCAGGCCTCTTGGGACCTCTTGGGCCGTCTCAGGGGATTGTTGGCCCGTCTGACGCCTATGGAGGCAGCCTTGGGGGCCTTTGTGGGCAGCCCTGTGTTGAGCTGTTCACGGTCGTCTTTGGGCCCTCTTGGCAGTCCCTCGGGTTCGTTGGGTCCTCTTGGGTCGACTTCGGGCCATCTTGGGGGCCTCTTGGGCGGTCTTGGAGATATCTTGGAGGCCTCTTGGAGGCTTCTTGGGCAGGCTTGGGCGGTCGGAAACCCAAGCAGGTGAGAACTTCAAAATCCTGCAAACACCTAAAGACAGTCAATGGTTTTGGTCTCCTCGGGCTCTCCAGGAGGGCCTCTTGGAGACCTCTTAGGCCGTCTTGGGGGCGTCTTGATCTGTCTTGAGGCTGTTTTGGGGGCCTCTTGTGACGTCGTCTTGGTCCCTGTTGGGCCATCTTGGCGTCACCTCGGCTGCCTTGAAAACCGTCCTGGAGGCCTCATTCCCAAGACGTCCCCAACACAGATGAAGAGGCCTCCAAGACCGCCCAAGAGGTATCCAAGAGTCCCGTGGACGCCTCTTGGGCCGTCGTGGGTGGTCGGAAGCCCGAACAGGCGAGAACCTCAAACTCTATCAACAGCCTATGGGGAATCAACTGTGTTGCCCCACCCGGGCTCTCCATAGAAGGCTTCCTGGAACTTTTTTGGATCGTCTTGCAGGTCTCGTGGGTCGTTTTGAGGACTTCTTGGACCATCTTGAGCCGTCTTGAGGCTCTCTTGAGAGGCTCTTAGGCTGTCTTGGGGCATCTTGAGCCGTTTTGGTGTCGCCTTCGCTGTCTTGGCAGCCGTCTTGGAGGCCATCTTGGCCGTCTGGAGGCCGAACCGACTGCAAGAATGCGATGTCAGAAGGGGCGTTTTTTAGGGGCGCGCGCGGCAAGAGGGGGTCCCTTGAAACTTTGCAAAAAACTCCCGGACAAGAGACGGGCACTCTAGCACGGTTCTGCATCCAGACATTAGCAGCCCCACTGATGCGAATATGGGAGAGGGGCTGGTCTGGCTTGCTCTGCGCGCTGCGATTTGGAAGACGTATACGTGAGACCGTTGCATGTGGAGGTTCTCGCGATCAGTTCGGACACATACACGATATGGCGAGACCGCAGCCCCCTCACCGGTGCGGAAGGAGAGGATCAAGGCGTCGGCATCAGTATCCCCGAAGCAGCCAGCACGCGTGCGACTTGACATGGATTCGTGCAAACGGGAACTCTTCATTTCGATACGTGTACACGATGTTTGCAAATTGACAGGCGCACATGACATATTTCGAAGCCATTCCGAACATATTGATAGTGGGTATCTTCCGATTTAATTCAGTTAGACACATGAGCATATATCCATGAATACATACGTACATACATACATACATACATCCATACATGCATGCATGCTTGCATACATACATACATACCTACGCACACATAAATACACATGCATACATACATGCATACATGCATGCATACAGGCATACATACATACACACGTACATGCAAACACACATTCATGTATACATACGTTACACGCATGCATGCATGCATGCAGACATACATAAAACATGCATGCATACATGCACGCATCCATACACTTTTACTTATATATATATATACACACCAGTGGTCACGAAATACATGCATATAACTATGTATAGACATCACTGGTCAGCATTGCGTCCATCATTAAGCTGTTGCCCCAGGGAGCTGCTGTCTGGCTCCAGGTTTATCAGCAATGAGCCAGGATCAACAAAAGGTCCTGTGGAACGGGCCCAGAGGTGCAGGGAATCACCAACCGTCTATCGAGCCGCCGACGCCTAGGAACAATCGCAGCCTGTCCCCTCGTCTGCCCTGGGCGGGCTCTTCTGCGACGGCGGGCATCAGTTGCAATAGCGGCATCAGCGGCAGCAGCAGGGCCTACAGGCCAGCCTGGTGACGGCAGGCTGGTGACAGGAGGCCCCAGGCCGGCATCATGGACGAGCCTGAGGCGGCCGACACCGACGGCGGGGCGCGGTACCTCGCCCATCTCCGGCGGCCGCTCTCCCCCCCCACGCAGACGGCCCATGCGGAGACGGAGGCCGTGAGGCTCGCGCGCCTCAGGTCGGGCGGGCGGTAATGGAGGGTGACCCAGGTGGTGGGTTGAGACAAGGGCCCTAAAGGGGCCCCTTTAGGGCCCCGTTTGGGCCCCTGCTGGCTCCCAAAGGGGCCCCAAAAGGCCTCTTGTCTTGAGGGCCGCTTCCTTCACCCTCCAGTTAGGTCCCCCCTAGTGCCACCCGTCCGATCAGGCTCGAGGGCGCGCGACAGCCGGCGCCGAGGCCTGGCAGCCGGACCTCGCAGCGCCAGCGGCGTCCGCAGGCCGCGGCCGTGCGCCCAGGCGCCTGCCTGGGCGCCTGGCTCGGCGCCGCCGCGACGGAGCAGCGCAGGGCCCCCGCCGAGGGCGCGCCCGCCTCGAGCGGGAGAGCGAGCCCGTCGCGGCGGCCGCCGAGCAGGGCGGCGCAGGTCGGCGGCGGAGGCCGAACTCTACCTTCGCCGATCCACGATTCGGGCAACCCGATGGGCGGCGGGGGCAAGGTCTGGAATTCGTGCAGCATCTGTTCTCCAGTTTCTGCCTCCACGGGCCGCTTTCGGGAACCCCGGGACCATCAGAACCGGATCCAGGGTGAAAATCTGCACCAGAGGGGTCCAGGGGCCGATCTGGAGCAGATATGGCGTCACAGGCCCCTATCCTCGCCGATCTACGATTCGGGTAACTTGATGGGCGGCGGGGGCACGTAGGGTTCGGGATGCGCCGAACACGCTGCAAGATCCGAACCCCGCCCCCGCTTCCCGTCGGTTCAGGAGAATCGGTGGTGGGTGGGGGCAGGGTTTGGAGGTCGCCGCCTTAGCGACGCAGAAAAATGGTTGCCGCCTGAGCGACGCAGAACAAGGAGGTCGTCTTCACCGACATTGGCGCACGAGCTGCCTGCGTAAAATCGCGCGTAAGGCGCCCTCGCTTCCAGCGTGGCGTGCCGCGCTGGCGGCCCGCGTAAGCCGCCGCATAAGATCGCTATGCCATCTCGCGTGAGACCCGTGTCTTGTCGTCGCCCACCCAGCAGGGCGCCGCGGGCGCCGCCGCGACAGCCGCTCGCCCGCCGTCGGGCCGCGCCCTCCGCGGCCCTCACATGCTGCCGGCGGGCCGCGAGCGCGTAGCGCTGCAGGTGCGCCCGAGCCGGCAGAGGTGGCCAGTGCGGGCCGCGACGCCCGAGGGCGGGCGGCAGCCGCCGGGCGGCGCCGAGAGGTGCGCCACGCCGCGCCTGGTCGGCGGCAGCCCGCAGAGGCCTTCGGTCTGGTGGAGGGCCAAGCTGCAGGAGGCAGCAGCCACGTAGAGCCTGTGGGTGTGTTCTCGTCGCTCGCCGCCGCTCGGGCGCGGCCGCGGATAGGTCCGCGGCGACCCCATGCGGCCGCCTGCGGCCAAGCCCGGCGCCGCGCCTGCGCAACAACCTCCTGCGCCTGCGTCCCGCATGGGAGGTCTCTGGACCGTCTCGGCAGAATGGTGTTGAGGCGTCTGGGAAGTGGGTCTGCTGTTTCTCAGAGGGGGGCAAAGTACCGAGACCGCTACCCTTTCTCCTTTTCGCCTCATTGGGCCTCGTGGGAGGCCCTCGTCGTCACCGCCAGGCTTCTCTGGAGCTTTTCTCGGAGCCTCTTGGGGCCCTCCTGGAGGCCTCTCTGGGGGCCGTCTTGGGCGCGATGCGAGCTCTCACGAAGAACGAAGGGGTTTGGTTTAACCATCTTGGGTCCATCTGCGTAGGTGGCTGGGTCGTCTCGGAGCCGTACTGGGCCGTCGTGGGACTCCTTCGGGGCAGTCTTTGGCCGCGTAGTGGAGTTTCTTGAGCTTCCCTGCAGCCTGCCAGATGCAGCGTGAAGCCTGAGCGGCTCGGAATGGAGAACAGCTCTGAGCAGAGATGTGTTGAAAGGTTTTACCACGGGTCAAGCAGGGCGTTCCAGATAGGTCCCCGCCGTCATTGCGTTTCCCCTCGGCGGAAGCCCTCGGCAGTCAAGCGGCGGGCGGCCCGCGGGCTGGCAGCTCGGCGGAAGGGAGCGAAGGTAAGAGTGAGACGTCAGCACGTTGACTGTGTCCATGTTTTCCGGAGTCGGCCAGGGCACTGCCCCCGCAGGCAGCTGCACCCGCGCACGTGATCACACCTGCTCCCGCCGAACGGCGCTCTCCATGGGGCCCCTGAGCGTGCCCGCTCGAGGTCGGCGCCCCTCCCTGTGCCCCTGCGGCGACGAGATCTACACGTATCTACCGCCATGGCCATGCCTGGGCCCAGGATTTTCGGCGTATGCGCCTCATCCTGACAATGCAGGGGCGGCATCAGGGAGGCACTGTGCACCGCTCCTGGGCTCCCTTGTGAGCCCGGCGAGGGGCGGTGCAGCAGGTCTCGCCCCCCTCTGATGATCGAGCTCCCTTTGGCTTGTTTTCGAGGAGCTTGAACACGGCACAAGCAGAACCTTTCGGACTTCCGCGCGGATGTCTCTGATAGGCGCTGCAGCCAAGGGCAGCGCCTGCCGCGGCCGCTTCGGGCCGATTTAGAAGCAGTGCCGATGCGGCCCCGTCCGACGCACGTTCCGTTTCGATCCGATTTCCCGATGCGATGTTGACTGCGCCAGCCAATGTTCGGCCTCTCGGGGCATCGTTGGAGGCGAGGCTTCTTTGGCCGCGCCGTGGGGTCTTCTTGGGACATGGGAGCGAATCTGGACCATCTTGGGGTCTGTGAGGGAGGTCGTTCGGCCGTCTTGGGCTGGTCTTGGGCAACCCGCAACAGTCTTGGAGCAACCTCTGACCATCCCGTTCCTTGTCCGGAGGCCCGAAAGATGGCCGCCGGGGAGTAAGCCTGGGGGGGGGGGGGTCGCGTTGTAACGCCTGCGATCCAGGTGAGGGACCTCCCGTGATGCCGCTCCAGACAGAACGCGCAGAAGGCATGCATACACCAGCATGCCTGGCCAGGGCCATCCCGAGCCCTGGCACGCATGATGTACTGGCCCTCCTCGCCGATGCCAACAGAGCCTACACGCCATCTCGAGACACATAATGGCCTGGGCCAGGCTTGGTGGTGGTTCGAAGGGTGCCTTTTGCGGATAGGAACCTGGACCTGGACCTCAAGACGTCTTGATGTGTTCATTGCTGCGTTTTTGGACCTCTGGGTCACTCCCCAGGGTCACGTTGTTCGTCCTGGACCATTTGTCGACGACCCCAGGGCCCGAGATTGGCCCCCAGAGGCAACAGTTTGCGATGAGCGCCGCCTTGATTTGTTCAACGGGTGTGAAGAGAACGCCCTCCCAGATGACTGATTGAGGAAATTTGCAAAGGTTCACTTGACATCGGCATTCGAGTGTACTGGTGAAGTCCCAAGTCGGTTTCGCTAATCGACGTGCGTTTTGAAGGATACATTCGGTTCTTCTGGGACGTCGATCAGCCACCCTGCCTGTGTCCGCTCGGAATGCGGTGCCGTAGGCACGAGGAGTGTCCTTGGCAGCTTTCACCAAGCGGGCGTTTTGCTAAAGGGGGTTCTGCCCACTCCCGAGTTCAAGTTGTTGGAGGTCTTGGCAGCATCGGTCGTGCGCGCGACCCAGCGTGCCGACGGCACGGTGGCGGATTTGGGCAGGGACGGCTCCACCTCGAGCCGTGCGGGGGCGCCTTCGCGGCCTGGCACCGAGGATCCGCGGTACACCGCCGCGCCGATGGCCCCGCGGAGCGCCCGTGCCCGCGTGGCACGCCTCGGCTGTGGAGTTGGCGGGGGGTCTGACGTGGCCCAGGACTGATTCTGGCCAGCAGGGAGGGGGGGGGGGCGGACGTTCGAGGCTCGAGGCTCGAGGTTGCACAACGCTCTTTGCCCAGTTCGGTCTCTGGGCGCCGTTTTCGGGTGTCTGGGGCCGCCACGAACAGATTCGGTGTGCAAAGGATCGCCCAGATGGACCCCGGTAGGGGTCCGGGGGCAGATTTTGTTGGCAGAGATGTTCTCGGGGCCTGTCCAAGCCAGATCCTCCGGCCGCCTCCAAGCGCCGACGGCCTCCTGGAGGGCCCGTGCCTCTGTGGCACGCCTCGGCTGCTGCCAGAGCTCTTCGCGTCGCGTCAAGCTCACGGCGTGGGAGGTGTCGGATGTCTCCAAGCGTTTCGTGGGTTCGCCGTCTCGGATGCGAGTCAGGGCTTTCGCCGCTTCCCGGAGGCTTGTCGGCCTCGGGGTGCTTTCCGGCAGCCGCGCCTCGCCGAGGGCTGGGGTGGGGTGCTCGAGGCGTCCCGAGCGGCCGCCGGAGACCCGAGGAGTGACCCGAGAGCTCCGATCCCCGACGCCATGTTTTTATCATTATGTCGACCCCCAGAAGACTCGACCCATTAATTCTCCTGTACCGATTTCTCATTCCGAGTTATCTGACGGTCCAGAGGCCAAGTCGGGGTCTCCAGGAGTTCGAAGGTGGCCAAAAACCTCCCGTCGTTTTTTCACGACCCGAAGGGTTCTGGGAACCAAGTCCCCTCGCGTGGCGGAAAACTCGAGATGTGGCGGGTGTTTGTGTGTTTTTCTGACCCCGCGGGCCCTCGTTGCGGGGCCCCGAGACCGCCAGGACGAAGCAGCCCCCCCGCCTGGCACCTACCATCGGAATCTGCCAGGAGGTGCGACACGCATGGGTTGCGCGGTGCGCTATCCATGGGTTGCGTCATGCCATGGGCTGCGTACTCGGCTGTTGCAAATATCGCGGCTCGCTAATGAGTGCGGTTGCGGAAAAAAAAACACAATCTGTTGTTGTTGGTTGCACCATCGATTGCGTTCTCGGCTGCCGAAAAAAGCGGCCTGCTATTGCTTGCGCCAATGGTTGCGCAATCGGTTGCCGTAATGCAGACGATTTGCTACGATGTGCTTTTGGTTGCACCTTCGGTTGCGCACTCGGCCCCCGAAATACAAAAGGCCTGCTATTCGTTGCGCCATAAGTTGTGCACTTGTCTCCCTCATGAAAAGTTGCGTGCCAACAGGTGCGATAAACTTGTCAGTTAGCGAGTTCACCTCGCGCAAAATGTCGGACGACCGGGGGGGGAACGAGTCGGGATGACAAGCTGATCATAGAAGAGGGATCGTGCCCTGCGCGAGGCCTCATCGTGACAGCTGAATGTCGTGGGTCGACATTGTGGGTCTGGCTACATATAGCATCTAGAGTTGCACATCTTACTGCAGCGCTGCCACTGTCATTTTCGCAGGTTTTTAATGTATGCACTTTTACTGTTGAGCTGTTTCCGCGCGGGGGCTGCAATAGGCAGTGGCGTCGCGCATTGCATTTGTAGGGCACACTGAGCAATCAGGAAGACGGACGGCTCGCTCCTACCGACATCGAAGAATGGGCATTGCTTCTTGCTGACCGCTTCGAAAGAAGCTGGCAGTATCAGCAGGCTATGCGAGCAACTCACACTGTGCTCAAGAAAACGTTCTCATCATCATGCTTCTTCCCTCTCCCCTCGAGGATGGGGGAGGTTTGTCCCTGCATTCCCTGAGTTCCCCCGAACCACCCGCACCCCTGACAACCCCCCCAAGCCCTACACGCCCCACAACCCCGACAACGCCCAAGACACCACCCACAACGCCATAGCCCTCGCAAGCTCCACACCTCCCCCCTGAATTCCACAGCTTCGACCAGGGCCCTGTGGGGCCTGTCTCTCCCCCTGCATGCCAGGTGCCAGCTGCCCCCCCGCACACGTTCAACGTCACTGCCAGCTGCTGGCGCCCACATCTTCCGTGGTGGCATGCGGACGAGGGATAATGTCAGGCGTTTTTGTTCGAGTGCCGTCCCAGCCTCACCGAAGGCCCCCCGAGGCTTTGGGAGGGTGGTCTAAATATGCTGTAGACGTCCAACAGTTCGATCCCACCTCTTCTTTCCTCCCCATGCACCTGGCGTTTCGTCTTTTGTTCAAGACATCGGCCTCAGGGCCTCTCGACCACCTCCCGGGGCGGGCTTTCCGTGATGCTGTTTCTTCTGCTCCTGATGGTCCCAAAGTTCAGAGCCCGAAAACGGCTTCAATGTGTCGTGCAACATTGCGGCAATCAGTAAAGGTGCAACATGTGCCGTCTCGATATCTCGGCCCCCTCCTCCAGAAATATCGGGCCCTGGACCTTTTCCAGGGGAATCTGGCAGTGGCGACGAGACGCCCCCCCCCAGGAGGCCCAAGAAGGGCCAGGCGCATCATTCGTTTGTCGCCAGCGACGTTCCAGCGACGTTGCAGCGACGTAATTCTTGGTGTGTGACCGTGACGTGATACGTATAACGGATGCTCGATGCGAAGGGATGGTTTGATGATTTTGTTGTGCGCGTTCGCCGTACGTGTGCACGGTATTGATTTCATGTGTTGGTGTATGCTGTTGTGTGCGTGTGGTATTGCTATTTGATTGTTGGTGTTCGGAGTTGATGCATGCATTAGTTGTTTAGGTGCGTGGCCAGTGTTGTACATGGTGTTTCATTGGTGCTATTGTGGACGCATGTTGCTTACCTATGCTTTCATCGTGCACACGCATTCAGGATATACGTACTCGGCGTGCGTGAGTGTGTTATTCACGTGGTGTATGGATGTTCTGCTGTTGTTGTCTGATATTGATGTATTGTACTGTTGCGCGTACTTGATGCAGGTCGCCGGTGGGTGCCCTCGCTTGTGACATTGTGTTGTCGATGTGCAGTCGTAGCGAATCTACTCGGCGTGTGTTGTTCACATCTGCTCGGGATGAGAAGCCCCGCCCTGGGAAACGGTGGGGGCTTTAGGGGGCCCTGGACTTCAAGATGTCAAGGATGGGATGTCCCTGATAATCTCGATCCCCGCACTCCGAAACATTCGATCTTCCCTAGAACCTCGCTCCCCGCAGAGTTCGACAAAACCTACAACGACAGGGAACCTGATTCCTGGAGCCGCCAGCGGACGTGTCGGGTCGGCGCTGGAGCCCGCGAGCCGCGCCGTGGCAGCTCTGGAGGCGCCGCGCGGCGGCGACGAGCGCGCGCGGACGCGCCGCCAGGGCGCCCCGGCGGGGCCCGCGGGCCTGCTGAGCCTCCTGCGCCGCCAGGGGCCGCCCGGCCCCCCCGCCGCGGGGGCCAGCGGCGGCGGCGCCGCCGAGGACGCGGGCTGCGCGCGCGGCCGGCCGCCGCTGGCGGGGGTCGAATTCGGGCTGACGTGAAGTCGGGCATGTGCCTCTGCGGGAGGGAGATTCAGAAATAGAGCCGCAGTAGTCTGGGGACGTCTCTGCGAGTATGCTTTTTTGGTGGTGTTGATGGCATATTTTTATTTTTTCGTGCAAAATCCGCCTGCAGGAGGACATCCCCGACCTAAGGCTAACGGGTCCTTTGCACATGTCCAGGCTTCCTAGATGGGGTCGGAGGATCGCGCCGCATCGCCGATGCATCGGCGATGCGGCTCGATGTGAAGCACGTTGTTTCTCCACGCGGACGGCGCCGATGCATCGCCGACGTCGTCGATGCATCGCCGATGTATCGCCGATGTATCGCCGATGTATCGGCGATGCGGCGCGATCCTTCGACCCTATCCACTCGGACTCTCATCTAGGAGGCCTTTGAACGGCGGTCCCAAACATGTGCGCAATAGTTCGTGCAATCGTTCGTGCGGGATGCGCACGTCGTACATGGCCCATCGCAAGGGTGACCCCTGAGTTCGGGCTCACTGGGGCCTCCCGATCGCTGAGAGCGGTCCGGAAGCAGCGGCTCGCGCGCTCCGGTTTGTCCCCCGCCCCCTCAAGCCCCGCACCAAGGGTCTCTCTTGCCTAGGGTCGCTCGCGTGTGCAGGCGAGAAGAGCAAGACATCTTGATCAAGCCCCGCACCACAGGTCTCTCTTGCCTAGGGCCGCTCGCGTGTGCAGCCGAGAAGGGCAAGACATCTCGACAGTGATATTTCTTAGGGCTCCAGTGGTTCCCGTCTGTCCGCTCGGGCTCCAGAGGCGCAGGGCCGCCCTCCAGAACTGCCAAGGAGGAATCCTGGGCCAATCGAGCCTCTGCTCTATCTTACCACCAAAGGGGGGGATTTCTCGAAGAATCGCGCCCCCAACTTGATTATAGGGACCAGCGTGGGCACAGTTTCCCCACGGTATGGTCGCCCCGCGTGGACATGGTGGCGAAGCCAGCGCGGGCGTGGAAGATGGAACGCCACGAGTGGCCTGCAGTCGGCCGACATCGAAGTACCTCTGCTGCCGGGAGGCCGCGATCTCTCAAGGTGGAGGGATCCACACGGTATCAAAGCAAACGGCGACTTCATCGCGACGTGGACTCGTAGGCAATGCACGCCACTCGAGGCTGTTCCGCAGATCTCGGCCGGGGGCCCCGTTCGTGGCCGAGGCTCGCCGTGGCCAGCAAAGACCAGCGCTTATTGTTCAGCGTTCCCTGTGGCAGAACGACGACTGTAGTTCTGAGGGGGTCTCCTCCTGCCTCCGCCGCCTCCGCGGCCGATCTTCACCTTCTTCCATTGCCTGGGTCCGCAGTTTATTGGTGCTCGGCCCTTTCCAGCCCGAGCGCGGTGTACCCCCCACGTCGCTGCGACCACAGCAGGCTGGGCTCCATCCAGCGAGCGCCAGATGCGACATGCTCGCCCCCTCGTGGCAGGCGCGGCGCGGGCAGCGGCGCGGCGGTGGGCGGCAGGTCGGGGCAGGCCCCCGTCGGCGGCATACCCAGGGCCAGAAGAGCTTCCCCCCGTGTTCCTCGTGCAGCATTCCTCGTGGTAGCGCGACGACTGCCGGCAGGGTGAAGGAGAAGGGTGCTTGCCACGAGGCGCAGACGGATTCTACCTGTGT